GCCCATGTGCCCGGGGCTGGCAGCTGCTGTGTGCCCGGGGGCGGGGCCAGCCCAGATTGCTCCGTGGGTGCCATGGCGCCCGCGGGCACCGCGTTGGGGACCACTGCTCTAAAGTATGGAGACAGGGTCTTGAAGAGACATGGATTCAGGTATCCAGTGACAAGATCACATCTTAAACCCTAAAGAGATGTAGCTGTGTTAGTCTGGTCTTGCTGAAACAAAAAAGAGGACTACACAGCACTTTAAAGACTAACAAGATGGTTTATTAGATGATGAGCTTTCGTGGGCCAGACCCACTTCCTCAGATCAAATAGTGGAAGAAAATTGGCACGACCATATATACCAAACGGATACAATTAAAAAAAAGTGAACACATAAAATTAACAAATCAGATTTTAGAACAGAGAATGGGTGAGAGGGAGAGGTTAGTGTCTATGAGACAATGATATTAGGGGTAATTATTGGGGAAGCTATCTTTGTAATGGGTAAGATAATTAGCATCTTTAAGGCCCATTTGTAAAGTGTCAAATTTAAGCATGAATGACAATTCTGAGGTTTCCCTTTGTAGTCTGGTGTTGAAGTCTCTTTGAAGCAGGATGCATGTAGTGAGGTCATGGAGATAAATGCCCAGTCTGCTTGAAATGGCAAGAAATTGTTTTTTCTTTGTGAAACTATCTGATGTCTGTTTTGTATGCATTGATTCTTTGGTGAAGTGTCTGAGAAGTTTGTCCATTATACATAGCAGATGGACACTGTTGGACACTTGTTGGACACTTAAACCCTGTACTTTTTCCATGAGAAGCGGGGAGGGGATCAAACTGAAACAAAAAACTCTTGCCTTAGGCAAAACCTATTTAAAGGTGTAGATTAAGGTAATTGGGGTAATCAGTTCTCCCCTGGATGACTACTGAAAACATGAGGGTGTATCTACATGTGCATTGATCAACAAAACTTTGGGTGCTTAAAACTCTCTCCACCCATGAACAACAATTTTGTCACATGCACATGGGAACACTGACAAAGCAAAACCCGCTCATTGAGGGTGGAAATGTTTTGTCAGCAAAAGACACAGCCTTGTTGCTAAATGCTGCATAGTGTAGACCTATCCTAAGGCTGAACTGGGGGAAGGGTTGGATTGTTTATTAATAGTTATTGTAAATCATTACCGGAAGGGGACAAGGAGTCTGGGCATATTTCTGTCTACATTGAGAGAGAGGATTAATTTCATGAACATATGCTGTACAGATCTCTGTACAGTGTGACAGATTTATCTAGGGATTCAGCTCCCAAGGGGGATGGTTGAGTGCTAGAGACAGGTATCTCAAGGTGCTGTTTTCAGTTAAGGGCTGCAACTTTGGGGGTGTAGCCCAGACTTTGTGTCTGTGTTGCAACTAACTAGACATAATACTGGGAGCACAAGCTGGCAGGGAAAACAGACTCAGTGAGGTCTCAGCACATGAGGTGACAGTCCCAAGGGAGGAGGCTGACCTGCACAGGTAGATTTAAAAAATTTCCAGACTTTCTTATCCTTGCTCTTACAAGTCAGAGATTGGAGCATTATCTCTGGGTGATTAGTGGATGAATATTTGTAGGAACTTTCCTATCCGGTCTTGGGGGTACTTCAAGTTACCTTTTATTCAGTTTTTCCTGCTGCTTTTAATTCATCAGATTGTAATTATTAGGGAAAGGATCAAATGAGCCAAAGCTGTTTCTGAATTCACAAACTGATCAAAAATTAATAATAATCTTTTAATTGCTTTCTGCTACATTTATCCGTACCTTATCTTGATCTATTGGCTTTCATCACTTTGTGTGAGATGTGTTTAATATTTATGATGAGCCTTGGGAAAATGTACAGCTTAATTTGAGCTGAAGACAGGTTCTCTATTGAAAAACTTGTGCTTAGGTTTAATGGAATTCTGTTTACTTAGATTTAATACATAGTGCTTCTTTTTCTTACCAGAAAAGCCTCCAAAGGGTGCCATCTTATCCTCGCCTCTGCTGGATATGTTTCCAAAAAAAAACAGGCTGGGCACTTAGGGGTGTGGTGGGGGCATGGAATAGTGAGAAGGTACACACAATGAGTGTTTTCATTATAATGATATTTATATTGCAGTACTTGAGAAAACACCAACACCATTGTGTGACATGCTGTTATGCTGCCTACTTGATGGTAGACTTCAGACTAATTTTTCCCTCTTGATTTGTAATAATTTTAGGTGTCTACTCACACCTACATGCACTAGAGAAATAAAGCATGAATTAAAAGGACCATTAATTATACACTGAAATGTGAAAAATGCATTTGTTTTATAAAAAGAATGTAAATATTCTTCACAAAGACAATTAAAGCAGTCATTCCGTTTGCCTAAACAATCATAAAAGTCACACACTTTTTTTTTAACCTTGTTTTGTTTTTTCTTTTCCTCCACCTCCCTTCCAGATAAATATCACTGTCCAGTGCTCTTCACTGTCTTCACCAATAACTCTCATATAGTGGCTATCAAGACGACGGGAAATGTATTTGCTTATGAGGTAGGCTCTCAATTGCATTTCACAGTTTGTTTTACACTTGCAGCATCTTTCATTCAAGGCTCTCAAAGAGCTTTACGGAGTTAGGTAAGTGCTGTTCCTTTGTTACTGACACACAGAAGCTAAGAGGCTTCTCTAAGGTCATGCAGCAAACTAGGAGCAACATTAGGAATCATAGTTCCTTGATATAAGCCACATTATCTCCATTTGAATGGAATTGGCTCCCGGTGCCAACAGCCAGCAAGAGGCTTGTGGGTTATGAAAGCCCCATTTAAGTTTTCAAAATAGACTTAGGTCTTTGATCTTTACACATGGATGAATTTTGCCTCTTGTGGAGAGACCTAATGTTTTAAAAGGTATATTACATTTAAAGCTGTTCATTTGAGTAAGCTGTACATAATTGAGCCAGAGAGATTTGTAGCAAGAACTCCTGATTCGCTGTCATGCAAACAAACAAATGTTTAGTGAAGCCAACAACATTTTTTTTCTAATACATATCCATACACAAAAGGCAGATTGCTTGCTTCTGATCTTTTCAGGAAGCAAGAATCTCTGCATTTGGAGAAAAAGAAGTTATTCGTGGATTCCCTTTCAGTAGTCTGATTTGTCTTGTGTACAACCTAAAGCTACTTGTTTACAAAATCAGACAATCAAAATCAGTTTGTACAATTGCAAAAAAGAAAAAGGTATACATTCACACAAAAAAAACCCAACCAACCAAACACCAATCGTACTACTCCCTCAAAAAGAATCACCGTAATACATTCTCCCGTTGTGAATGGCATTGACTTTTTAATATCTACTTGGGGGAACAGATAAGACTGGGTTAAAATACTTGTTATTGTCTTCTGAAAAATGGGTAGGTATTTGTTTGGACTACAAGGTATTATCTGCCTAGTCCTTAATAGACACTTGGATAACAGTATTACTATATGGATGTTTTGGCACAATTTGCATTCCTGTTAGAGAAGTTCACCTGAACAGATGTGTGGTAAAACTTTTGAGCAAATGCTGTGCATTATACGTACGTACGTATGTATGTATCACTCTGGCTAGTGTAATTTCTTCCAAGGTTATATAAGCCTTAAGTTTATTTCTATACTTTTAAAATAGCAGAAAAAATGCCAGTTTTATTCTGTCTTGAGTGTGAGTGTATCTGTTTCTTTTTTTGTGAGTAAAGCTGTATCTTTGCATGCAGCACTTTGTAGTGGTGATTCTAGTGTGAGTACAGAGCATGACTTTGATGTTGATTCCTACCAGGCTGTAACCCGATTCCCTTTTTGAAAATAACTTTCACTGCACCTGTTAAAATGGAGATTAAAATTGCTCCATGCATAAAAATGCAGTTCCATGCATTTTAATTATAATCTAGAAAGCAAATGACACGATTTTCTTTTTGTGCTCGTCTTTGAATCCTTTTATGGAATTTCTCTTAAAAACCTGCAGCAACAATGTATGTAGCTACAGCATATTAATCTCCATACATATTGGAGATTCTTGATTCAAATGGTTAGGAAAGAAATATGAATGTTTTCCAAAATCAGTAAGGAGGCCATTGAAACAATGTAATCACCCATTGGATGTGAATGTCTCTAATATCAACCTGAATATAATTTCTTGTTTTCCACCTGATAATTAGGCAGTTGAGCAGCTGAACATAAAAACAAAAAGCTACAAGGATCTCTTGACAGATGAACCCTTTACTCGGCAGGACATCCTGACACTTCAGGTAAACCCCTTCTTGTTGGCTAGTTTTATCTACTCTAGTCCACTTCTACCCTCTCCCCTCCTCAAATACCCATTTTTGGGGAGTACTGGGCAAACTGGCCACTCCATTTTGCATTGCTAATATAAAATGACAACTAACTAGAAGAAAAGAATTTTGTAGTGGGGAACAATTGTATCCCTTTCATTTGTTCTCCTGGTGGCAAACCTTAGATATTCCATATAATTTCACCAGATCTGAAGTAAGACTTGGATTATTTTTCATTTCATATAGACAGCACTAAATTGGCACTTCTGCGATGGGTATCAATTTAGTGGTTTTGGTGAAGAGTTAATAAGAGTAATAAGTTGATGGGAGAGTTCTCTCCTATCTATGTAAATACTTCAAGAGGCAAAAGCTATGTCGATGGGACAGTGTCTTCTGATATAACATGATGTATGTACCTCATTAGGTCAATGTAAGGTCCACCTCCCCATCCCCTGGATGAGGGTTTACACCTGTGAGGGATGTAATGTACATCAGCATAAGCAGTAAAGTACACAAGGCTATAGCAGATTGTGCTTAATTTAGCATGGAAGCTCATTGTAGGTTGTCAGATTTTATGGATTAATAATTTTGTGGAGTAAGCATACACATTATGTATTAAAAAATCAGTTAATCTGCATCAGAAACATACTGTTCTTGTATTTTCAGTAGACTTGTAATTATGCAGTACATTATATTATACAAGTAAATGTACCGTACAGTGGTGTAACCATAATGAAATGTTAGTTATGAGACCTTGCTGTTAAATCTTCTCTTAAAAATGGCATAAAATCTTTGAATTAATGTGGGAATTATCTGATTTGCAGTTTCGCCAAATGGGACTTAACCAGCATGTATGGTAATTGTTTATAATGCTAGGAAGAAGGAGGCACAGGTGGTCAGAGACTTCTTTAGGCATAGGTGGCCAGTCAGATGACCAATAACACATGAATTGTGTTGTCAAAAGAAATTAAAATAAACCTCAGATTTTTATTATTTAAAAGACCCCCCCAAAAAATATTGATATTTTCTAAGTATAGGGGTGAATTTTAAAAATGAAAATCTCAACAAAGTAGGTTTTACAAAATGTCTCTGCATCTAGAGAAAAACTGGCAGCAATGCAGAAATCCTCACCTAAATACGTTTTGCTTATATTTGTTGCCCTGAAAATCTGTGTGGTTTTTTGTTTTAAGAAACATGTAACTATATTGTAGGTAGAAATAGGGATGTAATAGTGTAGTCAGAAGCTTATAGATTAATGATATAGACTACATGCATTCTCTTCCCTCCCAGCCCCCCAAGTCAGTAAATTTTTTAGTAGGTTGGCCAACAGACTGGCTCAGTCCTGGTCTGTGATGGGTCTGGGACCTATTCCTGCTCTGGATCTGCATTTAAAATGTACTAGGGGCTAGGTAGGGAGGCAGCCCAGATCAGTTCTGGCTTGCACTGGGCCTGGGAGTTCAGAACCCACACCGGACAGGGCTGCTGCCATTCCATGCTCCTGCCTCTGTATCAGAGGCAGCAGAACAGAGCAACAGACAGCCAGTCCACAAGGGGAGCTGGTTTTTAAGTTGGCTTCCCTCGCAGACCAGCTCCCATCTGGCACAGAGGCAGCAGTGCTGTGTGGCAGGTGGCTCCTTGGGCGAGGGGCTGGAGCACGTTGGCTGCTGGCCCTGCCTCCAGGGAATATAGACTAGTTGAGAAACCAATAAGAATTCATGATGTTACTTGACTGTTCAATTCACCAATACTTAACATTCGTAGGTAGAAGTTGGCTTCCCTCGCAGACCAGCTCCCATCTGGCACAGAGGCAGCAGTGCTGTGTGGCAGGTGGCTCCTTGGGCGAGGGGCTGGAGCACGTTGGCTGCTGGCCCTGCCTCCAGGGAATATAGACTAGTTGAGAAACCAATAAGAATTCATGATGTTACTTGACTGTTCAATTCACCAATACTTAACATTCGTAGGTAGAAGAAATACAATATAAAACTTCACAGAGAGTACATTTACAAAATGAAATTGAAGTATTAATTTTTCTGAATGTGAAGTGCTACTAAGGTTGTTAGATTGACCTTGGAGGCATAGATTAGTGAATATATCTTATAGCACTTTTGATACTAGGTCGGTGCGTCTCAAAATGCGGTCCTTGGACTAGTTTTGGTCCACAGCCACCTTACAGGTGGTCCGTGGGAAGAATGCCCCAAAATGGAAGCACTCTGCTACCTCTCTGGGGGAGTGGCAGCACATGGAGCCCCTTGCTCTCCATGAGCCATATCTGGCGGGGAAGGTCAGGGCTTTCTTCATCTTCCCTCTGCTCCTGTCCTCCTACCCCAGCCCCCCCCAAGCG